GGCCAACTTGGGTGAGGTGGATTGTGGAGGTTGAGAAAGTGACAAAAGTGAAAGTGGGGTTGCTATAGGAAGGGGAATGGTGTGGCATGGGGTTTCCTTGGTTGGGGACTCTCTTGGGACCTTCCCTCTCGTCCTCCTCATCCCCTCCTACCTGGTTTATTGCTACTCCAACTTTCTTGTGTATAATTGTGAGACTCTTATCATTGAGTTAAGTTCTCATAACAGCATACCCCCCTGTGCACCGAAACTGATACGTCCAGATTTACTTCACCTCTTGATACGATTCAAATTGGGAATTGTAGCCACGGATTAGAGTTACAACATATCTAAAATTAGCGAAGTTTTCACAGTGCGTTTTTTGTCGACGGCGTTTCTTGTGAGCGCGATGATTCTGTCCAGAAATTGAGACCAACAATTTTGAGAAATTTAGACACATAATCTTCATAGACTCTGTCCTTAGTCTCTATAACATAGTGGGTCACCTGCTGACCTCCATGAGTGAACTGGTCAACCCACGCATCCTGAAGGTCAGCTCCACTCACCAAGTTCGTGGAGAACGAGGGGAGGTGGAGGCCAGACAGAGAGCCAGACGGGACCGCCGGACACGGCAGAACCGTGGAGGAGTGTGCAAGGACCGGACCCCCAGAGGGGTCAGCCAGAGAGACTGCCACTGGCCGACTGAGCGGTGAGAGTGTGGTGCAGTCACGGAAGAAGGAGCCGGAAGCACCCGAGTCAAGGGTGAAAGTGTGCAAGGCCGCAGCAGGCGCAGTACCAGAGAGAGCAGACTCACCAGCACCTGGAGCAGTGGACTCACTAGCGCCTAGAGAAGTAGCCTTACCAGCACCTGGAGTGGGAAACACGCCAGCACCTAGAGCAGCAGCCTCAACAGCACCTAGAGCAGCAGACTCTATACCTGGGTCAGGCAGCACACACAGGTAACAGGCACCCTCAGCACTAGTAGGCAATGCACACATGGCAGTGAGGATAGCATCATAGTCAAGAGCAAAGATATCTACCCTCCGCCTAAGCAGCTCCAGCCAGGAGGGGGGCTCAGCGTCGTCGCCAAACTCTGTACGCCAGGCGTCGCTCAGACAGGAGAAGCAGCGGGACTCTGTGTGACCAACCGTCCCGCAAGGCTGACCAGCCCGATCACCACTGCGAATGACGTACGGGCAGCGAGCAGTAATGTGTGACCCTCTACTCTGAGCATACCACTCACGAAGCTGCTGGGTCGAAAGGGTCGCGCGCGGACGCCGCTGCAGCTGCACCTAGTCACCACAAGAAGCCCCGGAACGACTCGCGCCAGGGCGACTCCCACCACGGCCACCCCTACAACCCCAACTAGCGTACCACTCACGAAGCTGCTGGGGCGAAAGGATCTCGCACGGACGCCGCTGCAGCTGCACCTGGCCACTACAAGAAGCTCCCGAACGACCCGCTCCAGGGCGACTCCCACCACTGCCACCCCGACAACCCCAACTAGTGTACCACTCACGAAGCTGCTGGGGCGTGAGGGACTCACGCGGATGTCGCTGGAGCTGCATTTGGCCACCGCCAGGTGCAGAAGTAGCAGGAGTAGCAGTAGTAGCAGCAGTAACAGCAGGAACAGCAGCAGTAGCGGTGCGGGCGGGGCAGTGCGGCTCAGTAGAGGAGGGCTGCACAGATCGGCAGCACGACGCGGCTCGGCGGGGCGGCTCGGCGTGGCTGAGCAGCGCGGCTCAGCTGGGCGGCGCGGCCCGGCTGGCACGCAGGTGCGACAGGCAGGCCGGCGCGGCAGCGCACTAGTAAGGCAGGCACGCGGGAAGCGCGGGTAGGGCAGGTGCTCACCAGTGGCGGGAAGGGCCGACGGCGGCGACGGCGGGGCCGCGACAGCTGCAGGGCGGGGCCGTGACTGCGGCAGGGGGCTCCGCGGCAGCTGCTACAGGGCGGGGCCGTGAGTGCGGCAGGGGGCTCCGTGGCAGCTCCTGCAAGGCGGGGCCACGACAGTGGCAAGGGGCTCTGCGGCAGCTGCTACAGGGCGGGGCTGCGTCTGCTGCCGGAGGCTCCGCGACAGCTGCTGCAGAGCGGGGTTGTGAGTGCTGCAGGGGGCTCCGCGGCAGCTGCTGCAGGGCGGGGCCGCGACTGCTGCAAGGGGGGGCTCCGCGGCAAGCAGGCATGGCGCCCAGGGGGGCGCCGCGACGAGCAGAGACGGCGCGCAGTGGGCGCCACGACGAGTAAGGGGCGACGCCCGGGGGGTGCCGCGACGAGTAGAAACGGCGCCCAGGGGGCGCCACGACGAGCAGAGTCGGCACCCCGTGGGTGTCATGACGAGTAAAGGCGATGCCCTGGGGGCGCCGAAACGAGCAGAGAGGGTGTCCAGGGGGCGACGCGACGAGCAGAGACGGCACCCAGGGGGCGCCGCGACGAGTAAGGGCGATGCCCCGGGGGCGCTGCGAGGAGCAGAGATGGCGCCCTGGGGGCGTCGCGACGAGCAGAGACGGCGCCCTGTGGGCGTTGCGACGAGTAAAGGCGACGCCCTGGGGGTGCCGCGACGAGTAGAGACGGCGCGCGGTTGGCAGGGCGGCGCTCACGGGCTGCAGGGGCTACGCGCGGCTCAGGAGGGCGGCGCGCGGGCTGCAGAGGCAGCTCCCACGGGCTGCAGGGGCTGGCACGGCTGCAGGGGCAGCGCCCATGGGCAGCAAGGGCAGGCACGGCTGTAGAGGCAGCACCCACGGGCGGCAGGGGCATGCACGGGTGCAGAGGCAGCGCCCACATGCGGCAGGGGTAGGCACGGCTGCAGAGGCAGCGCCTACGGGCGGCAGGGGCAGGCATGACTGCAGAGGCAGCGCCCACGGGCTGCACGAGCAGCTAAAAAAAAAATCAGTTAGGGCAAGGCGAAACGTTCAGTGGGCCCTAGGAACGATTCTGCTCTAATACCATGTGAAAATAAGAACAAGGAATGGATGAACTGTTACGATAGTGTCTTAACTGGTAACCGGGTTTAAGGAGGGCCTAGGCTTAGTAGCCTAGGCCAAGCGGGTGTCGAGTAGTTTGTGCCAAGAGAATTGAAGAAAAATGGTTGGAGGTTCAATATAGCACACGAGTACATATAGCAACTTAACAAAGGTGAAAAAGGTGCACCACCACACAAGGGAATTACACAACAGCTACACTACAGGCAGATTATACTAAATAGATATAAATCTATTGTAGCAGCGTCACTTCTATGGGCGTCCGTGTGCATGGCATCCATTTCGGCTCCCCCCCTTCCGCTGTCATCACCAACATCCCCTTGGCCACGTGCCTCTCTGGAGCCAGCAGACCCAGCCTCTCAGCCATCCCTCTGCCCAACATCACGCTCTGCGCCCCCGTATCTATGATGGCTGTCGTTACTTTCACTCCCTCCACTTCCATGGCTCCCTTTTCAAGCAGTAGCACCGAGGTCTGGCATGCCAGCCTCTCTTGGGGGTGGCGTGCGGGGGCTGGCTCTTGGGCCGGCTCGGATGGCGCTTCTCCCTTCACCTACTCCTTCCTTCCTTGCTCTCGCCTGCCATCTCTTCCCCCGCTTCTCAGCCCCACCTCCTCTCTCCCCCTCCATGCCATGAGAGCACACTGCACGTCCTGCTCCACCTCCTCTCCCCCCCCTTCTCCTGCGTACATTCCTGCCTCCGCCTCCCCCTTCAGCCCTGTTGCCCTCAGCTGTGCCTGCAACCTGTTAATCTGCCGCTGCAGCTCCTCTGAATGCCTTCCACTCCCCCCTTCCCTCTGGTAGCAGTCCTTCGCCTCATGTCCCTGCCTTTTGCAGATTTCACACCGGGCATCCAGGTTTTTGCAGTTTTTTCAGTCCCTGCGCAGATTTCACACCGGGCATCTGCGCAGGGACTGCAAAAACTGCGCAGATGGCCCAGTCCTCAATTCGAAGCATGTCCACACCTGTAGCATGTCCTGGTATCCGCCCCAGTCTCCCCTCGTCCCTCTGTTCTCCCTCCTCCTCCCGGTATTATGGCCGCCGCTCACGTTGGCCGCCTGCTCCTCTCTGCTGGCCTGGGGAGATATGCCTCAAATTTCCTTTGCGCGAGCTCCACCCTCTCCGCCAAGGCGAACACCTCCTCCAGGCTTGCATCTGCTCCGAGCTCATACACCCTCATCCTCAGCCCCCCTCCTAAGGCCTCGTCCAAGCCCCCCAGGAACTTGCTGACAAGAAGGCTGCTGTCCGTGCATCTCACGTCCTCCGCCACATTTATCAGCCGGTTGTAGTAGGTCAGCAATGATTCAGTCCTGCCCCTACTGAATTCCTGGAACTCCCTTATGCGCTCGGCCGTGTGCCCTGGGAATTGCCGCTGCAGCCTCTCCAGGAATGCCTCAGTGGGGTCCTCGCCGTACCTCCTCGCCCTCCACAGCAGTTCCTCCATCCTCATACGGTAGAGCGTCTCGGCCTCTCCCTCGAGCGTGTTCGGCAGGCTACTGGATCCATGTGGTGCCGGACGCAGCGGTACCGCACATTCCCCACCTGCATGAGGTAGTTCTTGAGGGTCGGTCCTGCACGCTGGTCACCTGAGAATCTGACGGGCACCTCCACCCGTGGGGCGCCGTTGCTGCCCCCACGCCCCTCTCCCCATGCCTCGCTGGCCCCTTCCTGCCGACTCCTCTCTGTTCCCCTCACCCGTGCTCTCTGCATGCCCTCTCTAGCTTCCCGCGCCTGCTCTGCCCCTTGCGCCAGAGTTCCGCCTTCCGTTCTTCTCTTTTGGCGGCTCCCGCCTGCCTCGTACCGCCTCCCCCTCGATTCTCCTCGCCCCTCTGTCCGTCCCCACTGCACCGTCGGCGGTCCGTACACCTCCCGCTCCTCCCATTTGCTCATCTCACGCCGCGGCTGCCTCTCTGGCGATGGTGACCAGGCGTCCAGGTGCTCACTCCAAGTGCGCGGCTGACGCCACGGTGACCGCTCCCCCGCGTACTTCTCCCTGCGCGTGTGTTGTCCGTCCGGCGAGCGGGACCAGCTGCTGTCTCTCCGCTCCCTCTGCCTAGTCCGGCCTGGCGAGCGTATGGTGCTGCTGCGTCCCCCTTGCTGCTGACCGTGCCACTTCGGCGGCGCTGTTTCCATCTCTCGCCACCTCTCCCCGCACGGCTGCTGCCATCCTGCCGAATGCGGAGCGCCGCCGCTCCACTCTCCCTGCTCCTGGCGCTCGCCGCGCGGGTGAAACTCGCCCACGCGCCCTCCCCCGAGGCGCCGCTCCCTCTCCGCCGAGCGGGACCGCTCCTCCTTTCCCTTGCCGCGCGAATTTGGCGCCTGCCACGCTCGATGGCTCATCTCTGGCCCGCCCAGCTCCTGCCGTCCGGAGCTCTCCGTGCGTCGCCCTTCCTCTTAGGGATCGTCTCGACCGCGCGATCCCGGTGGCGGAGCCTCTAATTCCGCGACCGCCACCGGGCTCGTCTCCACTTGCGCCTCCGCCGGCTCGGTTTCCGCATCGCCCGTTCCTCCTGTTTGCGCCTCATTCGCCCCTTCTATCCCTGCCTCCTCGTCTGACCGTTCCGATCCTTCCTCCTTGTCCTCCACGCCCTGCTCCGGCGTCTCTTCTCGAACCGCATTGTGCGGCGAGTTCTCTCCGCGAGCGACGCTGCCGACGCTCCCTCCTTGTCCGCGAGACTGCTCGCCGAACGCCAGCCACCGCCCTCTCTCGTCGCGACGTCGTCCGCGCTCCTCCGGGGAGCGGAACACCCTTCCGCCGCGGTGGTTTCCGCCCTCCGCGCCAGGTCCGCGTCCGCTCTCCTGGAGCCACGCATCTCGATCCGCGCGTTCGGCGTGTCCTTCGTCATTCGTTCGCGCATCAGCTACTCGGCCGTCCCTCACGACAGGGACCCGATCGGCGCGGAAGGCGGGATGGTGCGGCGATTGCTCCATGGATCGCCCACGCTCTCGTGACGGCTCTCGGCGCTCCCGTTCCTCCTCCCGTCGGCTATACGCCCTACCCCAGCGCAGCTCGTATCGATCCATCTCGTTCGCGCTAGAAAGTTACAGTCCTAGCCCCCGTGTCCGCTTTCTTGCTAATATGAAAGAGCCTGATCCCTCACCCCGTAGGTTCCCTATTAGTGTCGTGTTGTCGTGTGCTAGAGCCTGAGACAATCAGTTTCACTAGTGCAAGGGAATATTAGCGAGAAAGCATCAATGGGTTGGAGGTGAGTGACCTTACCCCACCCCTGGCTGCACATCTCCAAAATGTGCGGCTCGGGGTTGGGGTTCGTTGGTTTCACATTTCGCCTTTCGGATTCTTTCCCCCTTTTTATCTCAACCGCTCTTATCCTGTTTCCCCCCTTCTACAACCTCGCTCCTAACAGTAACTTTACTACATCCTACAGCTATTACCTATATTCTTATTCCTATCTCATCTTCCTATGGACTTAGGATGAAACCCACACTCCACCATCATTCTACTGTTATTGCATATGCATTAAGTGCATATGCGGTGACACACACCCCCTATCTGCCTAAAGTGCATAACCATGTGCAGAGCCCCCCTTGAAGGGGTACACCTGTAAAACCCCATTACAGGGCGTGGGAACATCAGCAAGAGGCCCCCTCTGAAGCTGACAAGCAGCAACCACCAAGCAGCACCTGAACCACCGCGGTGGAACAGGTGCCCGGCTGCGGTTGAACGCCCCGCAGCTGGTGCACGGTGTGTGAGGAGCACGGGTACGGGTAGTGGGTTCGGGTAGCAACTAGGTGCTGTACGGGACGGGCCGCACGGGGGTGACGAGCAGCACGAGACCGAGCAGCACAGACCGGGTGGGGCACAAGCAAGAACTGACAGCACGGGTGGGGCACCAATGGGTACGGACAGCACGGGTAGGGCACAAACGGGCAGAACGGGGCAGCACGGGCAGAACAGGGCAACACGGGCAGAACGGGGCAGGACACGGGCTGAACGGGGCAGGACACGGGCTGAACAGGGCAACACAGGCAGAACAGGGCAGAACACGGGCTGAACGGGACAGAACACGGGCTGAACGGGGCAACACGGGCAGAACAGGGCAGAACACGGGCTGAACGGGGCAGGACACGGGCTGAACAAGGCAACACGGGCAGAACGGGGCAACACGGGCAGAACGGGGCAACACGGGCTGAATGGGGCAACACGGGCAGAACGGGGCAGTACACGGGCTGAACGGGGCAACACGGGAGAACATGGCAGAACACGGGCCGAACGGGGCAGGACACGGGCTGAACGGGGCAACACGGGCACAACGGGGCAGCACGGGCAAAACAGGCAGCACGGGCAAAACGGGGGACACTGGGCGCGGGTAGAACACGGGCAGCAACGGGAGACACGGGTGGGCACGGGCAGTATGGCACGGGAACGGGCAGCAACACGGGCAGGATCACAGGCAGAATCACGGGCAGAATCACGGGCGACAACACGGGCAGAATCACGGGCAGAATCACGGTCAGGATCACAGGCAGAACACGGGCAAAATACGGGCAGCACGCGGGTATGATCGCGGGCAGAATCACGGGCAGAATCACGGGTGGACAGCAAGGCACGGGCAGCAAGGGATGAGAAGAGGAGGAGGCGGATGATGCTGCAGTTGAACTCTCACCACCCACACCCCCTGAGCCTCTCTCCCACAGCAGTAGTAGCGGCAGAGAGAACGAGGAGGAGGTGTGGTGGCAGCAGATGGGGGTGCAGTTCCACTCCCACACACCTTCATCCTCCCCCCATTGTAGCAGATGCGAGATTGAGAGGGAGAGGAGGAGGAGGCGGTTGAGGTCGCAGAATCCTTCTTGGCACCCCCTTACCCTGCCAACAGCCCACCACCTCCACCTCCACACCCGCTCCTTCCCCACTGGCCGCCACCCCCACCACCTCGAGCTAGCACGGTAGCAGTCGCAATCGCGGCTGGAGCTGGCGGGAGCGTGGGTGGGGGCGACGGGGGGGGGGGGGGGGGGGGGTGGGGGGAGGAGGAAGTTTTCGGGCGGGCGGCGGCGCGAGCGGTAGGCTGCAGGAACGGGCAGCGCGCAGGCGACGGGTTGCAACAGCAGGTGACGTGCGATCGCCGGTGCGCTGGCGGTCGTCGCTGGCGTTCCGCCGCCACTCCCTTCCCCTTTGCCCTCTTCCCCCCCACAGCGATCCGCCGCCACTCCCTTCCTCGTTTCCCTCTTCCCCACACAGCGACCGTCGCTGCACACGCGAACAGCCGCGACGGGGGGGGGGGGGGGGGGGGACGGGCATGGGGCACGGGTAATGTGACGGGCTAAGGAGCGGCAGCGGGCTACAGGGAGCCGGGGCGACGGGAAGCGGGGTGACGGGAAGCGGGGCGACGGGAAGCGGGGTGACGGAAAGCGGGGCAATGGGAAGCGGGGCGACGGGAAGCAGGGCAACGGGAAGCGGGGCGACGGGATCGAGGGGCCGCGAAGACCTTGTGGGACGCGAAACGGGGGGTATTCAGGGCGCGAATTCGGGGGCATTCGGGGCGCGAAACAGGGACCTTCGGGGCGCGAATCGGAGGGCATCCAGGGCGCGAATCGGGGGGGGGGCATCCGGGGCGCGAAATAGGAGGCCTTCGGGGCGCGAAATGAGGGAACTGCGGGGGTCCGAGCGACGGCAAGCAACGGGGCGTACGGGCGACGTGCGACGGGTGATGAATTACGGGTTGGTGGGCCCATAAAATTGTACAGGCTAGGAACTTGCTAGCTCAATACCATGTTACGATAGTGTCCTAACTGGTAACCGGGTTTAAGGAGGGCCTAGGCTTACTAGCCTAGGCCAAGCGGGTGTCGAGTAGTTTGTGCCAAGAGAATTGAAGAAAAATGGTTGGAGGCTCACTATAGCACACGAGTACATATAACAACCTAACAAAGGTGAAAGAGGTGCACCACCACACAAGGGAATTACACAACAGCTACACTACAGGCAGATTATACTAAATAGATATATATCTATTGTGACATGAACTAGCAGCAGGATGGGTACAAGTAGGAAACCCTAATTCTACTGTACCCCATAAGGAGTGCCCCACTACAGCCTACAATATGGTTCTGACAAATCGATGTGAAGAACGCGTTCTGTATGCGTTAGTAGATGCAGTGATCTACGTGGAGCAGCCGCACACATACGGCGACGAGGATCCACGTGCCTGCCAGCTACGCAAATCTCTTTACGGGATTAAACAGGCGCTGAGGCTCTAGCAGCAGTACCTGCACAACATTCTGCTTGAAATTGGGTTCAAGCAGCTGTCTCACGATCCAGGGATGTACCGCCGCGACTTCCGCGGCAAATACATCCTACTAACGGTTTACGTCGACGATCTTCTCTACACAAGATCAAGCCCCGAGCTGCTTGAGCAGTTCGAGAAGAATCTCGCGGGGCGTGTCGACATCACCTGTAACCACGACGTGAAGCAGTTCCTCGGCCTCAACATCGCTTACTCGCTTGAAGCCATTCATCTTCAGCTGGCAAGTACGCAGATGAACATGGCAAGCGCTTCAACATTGCACCTGCACAGCTCTCCACCCCTTATCGCACTCCAGGACCCAACCATAAGCCTGACAACAAAGCCATATCCCCAGCTGGGCTTCAGACTTACCAGCAACAGTTGGGATGCCTACTCTTCACCTCGGTCACCTGCAGGCCAGATTTATCCTACATCGCAAGTCATCTGGCCCAGTACTCACGCAAACCAACGGCTCAGAATCTCTTAGATCTTAAGCGAGCACTCCAATTCTTCATTTCCACGCCCAATGTTGGGCTCTACTACTCCACCATCCCAACCGCATCCTTCAACCTCATCGGCTACGTGGACGCTGATCATGCCGCCGATCCTGACAATCGACGGTCCAAGACGGGCTTTCTCTTTCGCCTCGAGCCCAGCGGTCCCATCTCCTGGAATTCATAGAAGCAGGAGCTGGTTGCCCAGTCATTGGCAAAGGCGGAGTTCATCGCAGCAACAGCAGCTGTTCGCGAAGGCCTCTACCTTCAGGAGTTGCTGCAGGAGGCAAAAATTCCGGCCTCGACGAACTTCCGCCTGCACTGCGACAATTAGAGCGCGATCAGAATCGCGAACAAACATGGCTTCGTGAACCGCACCAAGCACATCACGCTGCGGTACTTCTTCGTCAAGGACGAAGTTGACAAGGGCAAGGTTGACCTAACCTACTCCCCAACGGGTGACATGGCAGCAGATTTCCTCACGAAGAAACTGTCGCATCACCAGTACCAGCACTGCTCCGAACTCAGCGAAGTAGTCAAACGGGTCAAGACCTGCTACGGCCAGGAGTGAAGGGGGGTGTTACGACTAGTAGTTACTGAAACATCACTGTTAGGGCTGATTTTATCAGGGTAATTACCCAGATTTCAGGGTGATTACAGGCTTCTGACCTGGTGGTCCCTGCAATTTCAGAATTTCTGACTTGTGAACACTAATCCATTCAGAATAGTGCTTTAGGGAACCATGAAATATTGTATCTAGGCTCAGAGTAGTGTTCTTACTGACTCTGTCAATGTAGAGTACGCGTTCTGTGGACTCTGAATTTGACCTTATTGGAACGAAGTTTCTCGGAACTTTCCTTCCAATAACCCCGCATTCATGTTGGTCGCAGTACAGCCAGAGCGTGAGCAGCGCGCGGAAAGATGTCGGTTGTATTGTCCCTTGCGTGTGCGTGAAGTTACCAACACATTTTTTGCGTTCCGCACAATGAAGTTGGCGAATTGCGGGTAATCAGCGAATAGGAAATCTTGGCACATCTACGGTACCAAACTGTTTGGTGGACCGAAATTCCTCGTTTCTTCCCCGCGCAAAAACGTGTGGAGAAATACCACTTTGCAAAAGTAAAAGGTAAGAAAGTAACGCGCACAAGGTGTGCACGAAATGATGCCGCGTTGTGTTGGGATCATGCGGAATGAACTT